GTCCAGATTTCTGTTTTACCTGTTCTCCTAGAAGAGGGTAAGACACACAATGGAGTATTAGGTTAGAGGTCCTCTGAGCATGCTTATGATTACAGATTTTTTTTTGCTTTGAAATGATTCTCTCCAACTCAGGCTATGATCCTTGATCATTTTTCCAGGGCCTAATGCATTGTAGAGCCAAGGAAGTCACGCTAGGTGTTAACTGGTTTAGATAGCAGGTTCAGGTTTCTGGTATATGCACAATAGAAGTATATTCAACAAACATTAATAAGTACTTTTAATTTATTAAATTAATTTAATTTAATTCAATAAATACCCTTAATTTATTAATGAATACCTTAGCACCTTTAAAAATTGTATTTTTTTTCCTGATACATATGGAAGGTTTAAGTTATTCTTCCTCCTGTTGATTCACTAGACTGTGTAGAGTTTCTTTGTTTATATCAAGTGGATATATAACCTTAAGAAATAGTCAGATGTGTAAGGCTAGAGTACTTAGTGTTGTTCAGGTTTATTGTTTGGTGCCTTTTATAATCTCATTAATCTTTCTTGCTGTACTTGAGCTCTCATCAGCTATTATTGAATGTCAAATAATTGAAATCCAGGTAGGCAAACAGGTCTTCTTGTATTTAACTCTGTATTCTTTACTTTTACTGGTCCTCTGAAATAGAAATTTAGAAATAAAGTTTCAGAATTTAAAAAGAGTTTTTCATGTCAACATACTGTCAGTTCAGGACCTCCCCTGCCCCATATTAGGGATTGGACCCAAGGGAGCTCTGCCACTGAACTACATCTCCAGCCCTTTTTTATTTTGAGACATGGTCTTGCCAAGTTGCCCAAGTTGGCCTGGAACTTACTATCCTCCTATCTTATGCCTCATTTGTGGGATTATAGATGTGTACTACCACACCTGGCTCATAAAGGACTTTCTTCTAGGTCTAAATTAAAATTATGGAAAACTACTGAATGAGACTCAATAAACATTTGAATTAAGAACATTGTACTTTGTGTACTGTATTAAGTATTCATGTGATACATTAATCTTTTTTTGTGATTTGAATTTCTTATAACTTTGTACTTTGCAATCGATGGAGAACTTGAAAGGGATGATTTTCCAGTTTATCTGGCCTAGTGGCTATATCGCGTGGTTCTAGGTACAGATTTGTGAAGTGAAAGTAGCCAGGGCCCTCCCACTTTTTCATAGGCAGTATCAGGGGTTCATATTGGTTCATTTAAGTTCAGATGATCCTGTCAGTTTAGGATTCCTTCGTTCTGTAGAGGTTCTGATGTGATGATGATATATATTATGTAGTAAAGGCCTGTAAATGGTAGAGTACTATGCCAGTGAAGGTTGAAAGCTTAGTAAGAGTTAAAAGTTCAGTGAAAATTTAGTAAGAATATAAGACTAAGCCAGGCTTAGTGGCCCAGAGACTCTGGAGGCTGAGGCAAGAGGATTGCAAATTTGAGGCCAGCTGCAGCAATTTAATGAGACCTTTTCTCAAAATAAAAAATAAAAAAGGCTGGGGATGTAGCTCAGTGGTAAAGTGTTCCTGGGTTCAGTCCCCAGTACCAAAAAAGAAAACAAAAAGAATTTAAGGCTTAATTTTAGTAGGTTCCTCCTGTGAGTCTGGCTTTCATGCCATAGCCTATAATTCTGGATAGTAGAAGCAAACAATATTCTCCATCATTTTTTTCCTACTACCTGTCAGACCTTTTGTCCTAGTTATTCTATTTTCGTCAGAATGGGTTAGAGAAATAGAGGAACTTTAGATATGGAATCTGTCTAATAAACGTTTGAATTATGGGTTGCTTTTTTTTTTTGCTAACAGTATTTTTTTTCTTTTTTTTATTGGTTGTTCAAAACATTACAAAGCTCTTGACATATCATATTTCATACATTTGATTCAAGTGGGTTATGAACTCCCATTTTTACCCCTTATACAGATTGCAGAATCACATCGGTTACACATCCACATTTTTACATATTGCCATACTAGTGACTGTTGTATTCTGCTACCTTTCCTATCCCCTACTATCCCCCCTCCCCTCTCCTCCCATCTTCTCTCTCTACCTCATCTACTGTAATTCATTTCTCTCCCTTGTTTTTTTTTCCCTTTCCCCTCACATCCTCTTATATGTAATTTTGTATAACAATGAGGGTTTCCTTCCATTTCCATGCAATTTCCCTTCTCTCTCCCTTTCTCTCCCACCTCTCGTCCCTGTTTAGTGTTAATCTTTTTCTCATGCTCTTCCTCCCTGCTCTGTTCTTAGTTGCTCTCCTTATATCAAAGAAGACTTTTGGCATTTGTTTTTTAGGGATTGGCTAGCTTCACTTAGCATAATCTGCTCTAATGCCATCCATTTCCCTGCAAATGCCATGATTTTATCATTTTTTAGTGCTGAGTAATACTCCATTGTGTATAAATGCCACATTTTTTTTTATCCACTCATCTATTGAAGGGCATCTAGGTTGGTTCCACAGTCTAGCTATTGTGAATTGTGCTGCTATGAACATCGATGTAGCAGTGTCCCTATAGTACGCTCTTTTAAGGACTTCAGGGAATAGTCCGAGAAGGGCAATAGCTGGGTCAAATGGTGGTTCCATTCCCAGCTTTCCCAGGAATCTCCATACTGCTTTCCAAATTGGCTGCACCAATTTGCAGTCCCACCAGCAATGTACAAGTGTACCCTTTTCCCCACATCCTCGCCAGCACTTTGCTAACAGTATTTTAATCATTCTATTTACTTCCTTTCTTCCTTTTGTTTCATCACACTTTTACTGAATGTATTTCCCACATATTCATAAACATTCAGGAAGAAATTTTGATCTTTAATTATGATTTTAAAAATATTTGATCCTCAAATGCTTATAAACATAAAATGTAACCTTTTCAAAGTAATAGCTAGTCTAATATCATTCAAATGTCAGATGAATGAATTAGGTAATATAACCTTGGATAATACTGTGAATTGCTTGAGGATGGGAATTATCTCTTACCAAGTTTTGTTTGTCTTCTTCCTTTTATCTAGTGGAATGCTACTTTAAAAAAATTGTATTGGGGGAGCTGGGATTGTGGCTCAGCGGTAGAGTGCTTGCCTAGCACGGGCGAGACCCGGGTTCGATCCTCAGCACCATATAAAAAAAAAAAAATAAAGGCATTGTGTTGTATCCATCTACATCTAAAAAATAAATATTAAAAAAATTGTATTGGTGCATTATAGTTTTACGTAATGGTGGGGTTCTTTGTTACATATTTGTACGTGCACACAAATATAACACTGTAATCTGGCTAGTATAATTCCTCAGTATTCTTCCCCCCAACCCTCTACTGATGATCCCCCTTTGATTTCATGAGAAATCCTCCCACACCCAGCTTTCTTTTCCTTTTTCCTCTCTAGCTTCCACATATGAGAGAAAAAGTTTGGTTTTTTTGCTTAACAGTGTTCTAAAGTTCCATCCATTTTCCTGCAAATGATAGTTTTCATTCTTCTTTATGACTGAATAAAACTCCATTGTGTATATATCACATTTGCTATTCATTGACTTGTAAACACTTAGGCTGTTTCATAGTTGGCTATTTTGAATTGTGCTGCTGTAGACAGGGGTATACATGTATTGCTCCCTACAGTATGATGACTTTAATTCTTCAGAATAAATACCACGGAGTGGTATAGCAGGGTCCTGTGTTGGTTGCATTCTTAAGCTTTTGAGGAATCAATAGAGTGCTTCTTTTATTTTTTATTTTTTCGTATTTGTAGATGGACAGCATGCCTTTATTTTATTTATTTTTTTATGCGGTGCTAAGGATTGAACCCAGTGCTGCACACATGCGAGGCAAGTGCTCTGCCACTGAGCTACAGCCCCAGCCCATGTGGAGTGCTTCTTACATGCCAAGTTCTCGTGTGTGTCTCTGTGTGTGTGTGTGTGTGTGTGTAGAGAGAGAGAGAGTATCAACATGACTTTTTAAAAATATTTTTTTGTTGTAGTTGGACAAAATACCTATTTTTTATTAATTTGTTTTTATGTGGTGCTGAAGATCGAACCCAGGGCCTCAAACCTGCTAGGTGAGCACTCTTCCACTGAGCCACAACCTAAGCCCCTCAACATGACTCTTAAAGTTTTACAAATTTATATACACATCTGTTAAAATTTCCTTTGAATTCTTACTGAGTAGCCCAGTAATTAGAGAACAAGTTCCATCACCATACAGCTATACCCTATTTTTGTCTTCTTTGCTTATTTATGCAATCTTCTTTCCTCTTGTAAAGGGGTCTGTCATTTCTTTGGTGCTAGGAATACACTTAATAATAATAATAGCTAATACTTAATATTGTAATTACTGTGGGCCAGGTACTGTTCTGAGTATTTCACATATTAACTTATCTAATCCTTATGACAAACCTTTGAGGTAAGGGCTGTCATAATTCATTTTACAGGTGAATAAATTAAGACACAGAGGTTAAGTAACTTGTCCAGGGTTGTATAGGTTCTAAGTGTATTTAGTAACCGTATCAAAGGCGGCGGGGGAGCAGGGGAACAACTAGATTCCTATAAGTTGAGAGGGATAAAGGAGTTTGAGAAAGTGTGTAGTCAACAGTGTTTGAATGCATACAGTGTTCATTTTACTGATCCTGTGTAATAACCATGAACAAGTATGCAATATAAAATTGGTTTAGAGGGAAGGATGAGTGAGTTTTTATCCTGACARTTTGGGCTCTGAATAGGTATGTGTGAATTAAACAACCACTGTGTGATTAACTCCATGATTTGGGATTGATCGTTAGACTTTCTCTGTGACCCTTCCCCCTCACTGTAAAAGTACTACCTGACTATACTTACAGTCTTTGCCCTATTTATATTGATATTCCAGTTATTTGTTCAGTTGAGGATATCATATAAATAGATGTATTCTCCCGGTTATTTTTGTGTTGTGGTTTTGAGAAATATTTTCCTCCTTGTTAGTGAGCAAGGAGTAACTGAATATTTCATTTCTTAACAGTACAGTGCTGTGGATACCAACCCACTCTCTTTGTACATCATGCATCCATTCTGGAACACTTTAGTGAAGGTAAGATAATTAATAGGCACGGGCTTTTTATTTTAGTAAATTTCAAGTATTTTAGCCTGTTTTATGGATGCGGCTCTTAGTTTAAGATGATATTTAGAGAGGTTGAGGTTGTAGCTAAGTGGTAGAATGCTTGCCTACCGTGTGTGAGGCATTGGGTTCGATCCTCAGAACCACATAAAAAATAAAAAAGTTATTAAAAAATAAGAAGAAAATATGTAGAGAAACCACCCTTTTCCCTTCCCATAGTCACATACCTTTTGATTTACTTATCTCATCATTGTTGAAATCTGTTTATACACCATCATTTATCGTTTTTGTGAAATGCCTTTTCAGTTTTTCTAAAAAGAATTTAATGTTATAAAAGTTTGAAGATTATAGAATTATTTAAAATGTAGAGAACAGAATGAAATGTTTATTTCTATCAACTAGAGATTATAGTTTATATTTTAATATATATGATTCTTGCATATGCTTTCAAATTTGTAGCTTATATTATGACTTAAATTTGTATGTTTATTGAACAGAGATCTAATTGTTTTGTAATTAATTTTGAAAAAATAGGCATTTCCTACTTGGTTGGCTCCCAATCTGATAACCTTCTCTGGCTTTCTGCTGGTTGTATTTAACTTTCTACTTATGACATACTTTGATCCTGACTTTTATGCTTCAGGTAAGAATATTACTTTAATCTAAAATTTTAAACATCTAGGTTGGGAAAAATTAGGTGTGGTTGGTTATTTTCTGGTTCTATTAAGATGCTTGTTTTTTTGAAAAGTTTTGGATATTATGTAAGATGTCAGAACTGTTTTTAAAAATCAAGTGTATATATGTTATGTATATTTCCATTTAGTTCTGGAAATATAATATCAATTTGCCACTGAATTTAGACATGCTCTGTAAAAAGCAATGAAGTTTTGGCGAGTAAAGAATAGAGTTGCATGAAGACAGAAATTTAGGATTGCTAAACTGTCTAAAAATGAATACAGGTAGAGCCCAGTATACCTATCAATCCAGAGATGTCACTTTCCTTTTTTTTAGTTATGGGAGAAAAATCCCCTTTCATCTAAAGGGGATGTGATCTGTCCTTCCCACTACTCATTTCTTACTGGCATTTAATGACCCAGATACGCTGAAAATGATTCTTAAGACCTTAAATATTTTTGACATTCGTCTGACCCTTAGAGAGCAGAAGCAGTTTTGGAGCCAGTGTTCAGCCTGCTCCTCCTCTGTGCTCCAGCATTGTTTTTCACACACATTTCTGCCTTTGCTTTCTCCCATACCCAGCCTTCACCCCAGGCTATATCTGGAGAGAACCTAGAGTTTTGGGATGGTGGGTGGATAGTGGGAGACAAGGTTTATTTACTTATTTATTTTTGCTCAGCCAGTTGATTGAATGGAAAGGAATAGAAAGGTGAAGGTGAATGAATAATTTTTGCATTTAACTTAGAATATATTTCTAAGAATACTTATAAATGATACAGTCAGGAATCATAGTATTATAAGTCAGTTGTGTGGTGGTTTGAGTAGACTGTGTGGACTGACCTGGAAAAATCAACAACCACTCACAGTATTGTTTTTGTAGGATAATTTGGAGTTTCAGACACTTGGGACTTTGATGTTATAGAAATTCTGAATATTGAAATTATACATATGCTGAACTCTTATCAATGATACTTAACCATAGCTTCTGTATATATAATAAAATGGTAATTGAAGTCTTGAATGCCAACTGTAAAGCATGAGAAGCCCCTAAAGTACTATACTACATGAATAATCAGATTAAATTTCATAAACCATGTTTTTTATATTCTGAGGGTTTTTTGTTTGTTTTGTATTTTCAGGACACCCTTAAAATGTATTTTTGTAACTAGAAATATTATTATTATTATTATTTTTTTAAAATATTTATTTATTTTCTTTAGTTTTCGGCAGACACAACATCTTTGTTTGTATGTGGTGCTGGGGATCGAACCCGGGCCGCACGCATGCCAGGCGAGCGAGCTACCCCTTGAGCCAAATCCCCAGCCCCGAAATATTATTTTCTATGACTGTTCTAAATAAGAATATTTACTCAGCCAGCACAGTGGTACATGCTTATAATCCCAGCAACCTGAGAAGCTGAGGCAAGAGGATCGAAAGTTTGAGGCCAGCCTGGACAGCTCAGAGAGGTCCTCTATATCTTCATGAGACTCGTCTCAATATAAAAAGTAACATAAAAAGGACTAAGAGTGTAGCTCAGTGAGTGGTAAAGCACCCTGGGTTCAATCACTGGGAAAAATTATTACATAGTTATTAAAAGAACTAAAAATCTATAAATGTTAGGTATATTTCCCCAAGTCATAGAACTTGAAGGACTAAATAAACCATCTAGTCCCAATATATTTGAGAAATGCAAGATAGGAGAGGTTAAATGATATCTTTAAGGCAGTATGCTGGTTGATTACAGAGCTAGGCCTAGAACCCAGACCACCTGATTCTCAGTTTTATCATAGCGGGGAAAAGTGAAGTCCAGACATTTCAGATGGTTCTGATGCCCAAATCATCTGGTTGAGGTAATCTGCCTTTACCCAAATCAAAAGATCTTTTGTTTGCTAATTAATAATATAGTGAGAAAGTATAGGATGAAGACTCAATAATATTTATAGCTAATTGTAACAGGAATTAGATTAGGGGCAGGGGTTGTGGTTCAATGGTAAAGTGCTTGCCAAGCACTTTTGAGGTACTGGGTTCAACCCACAGCACACTTAAATAAATAAATAAATGCATAAAATAAAGTTATAGAAAAGGAATTAGATCAAGTGCAGGCACTTTTTAAATTCTAAAAATGCATTATTTTTTATTCTAGGCTTATAAGTAATTTTCATGTAAAGATAAACACTCAGCCTTGAGTTATAATAAAAGGTCAATATAATTACTTACTGTTAATGAGAGGTCAGGGAGTTACTTTGGTTTTGGCAGAGTTTATTGATAAAATTTAATATTTAATTATGCATTCAGAATATATTGTAAGGTACTTTAATCTGTAATAAATAGAAACACTTCTCATTGGCAGTAAATGCTATGGTAAGAATTAATTGTAGTTAGACTGTATTAAAATAGTAACTTTCTTTTGCAGCACCAGGTCACAAGCATGTACCTGATTGGGTTTGGATTGTTGTGGGCATCCTCAACTTTATGGCTTACACTCTTGGTAAGAAATTGGTAAATACTTATTTTTAGTCAGTGGCTGGTAAATTAGCATTAACATTTTCTCCTATGTTTAATTCATTTTCATTAGGGTTTATTAATATCCAGTTCAAATTGGTAAATGTTTTTGAATTTTCACTGAGACCTATTGTCATTCACTTCTGGGGACTCACAGTATAAGATAGGAGTTGACAGACTACTCCTAGAAAGCCAAATCTGTCCCATTGACTGTTTTCATAAGTAAAGTTTTACTGGACATAGGTACACTCATTCCCTTACTTGTTGCCTGTGGCTGTGTTCTGGCATTAAGGAGACATTTGAGTATGGACCACAGAACCTAAAATATTTATTATCTGGTGCTCAACACAAAAGATTTGCCTTCAGTTTGGGAAGCAGTACTGACAAAGCAAATGATTGCAGAATGGTGAGAGAGATGCTGTAGCAGCACAGTGGGAGAACAAATAATGAAGTGATCAATTCATTTTCAGTAGAGGTAGTCTAGTGGTCAGGGAGGTCTGCTGTGTGAGGCCCATAATGTCTATTCTGCCTGCAGTGCTTTCCAGTGGGATTATCTGTATGGCCTATCTTGCATCCTTCAGTCCTCCTTTCCTGCTTTGTTTTTCTCCATAGCTCTTAAATCCATATAACACATTTTCTGTTTACTTGCTTATTTATCATCTCTCTGTTCTAACTAAAATGTTAGGTTCTTTGAGGATGAGTACTGTTCTGTTCATTGCTGTATCCTGGATTCCTAGAGCAGTGTCTAACACATGGTGGGTATTCTGTATATAGTTTATAAATAGATATAAAATAGTAGACCCTGACTTCAAGTTGCTTAGGTCTTTTTAAATAAAAATGACTTGTTCTCATAAAACCAGTATAACCTGGTATATTAATGCTGATATAGTGGATGACCAGAGCTGTAAGAGTTTAGAGAAGGAAGAGATCAGTGAAGCCTAGAAGAATTAGGGGAAACCTTAGTTAAAAGTTATATATTTAGGTAGAAGATTTGGAATAATAATAATATGTTATTATTATATAATTTTTTGAATTTATTATTAAAAACGAACAAGTTTTTAATTGCTGCTAATGATTTGGTTGTTCAGGACTGCTGTAAGGAATAGGGGAAATTGAGGGTGGCTTCTGGGCTCTTATTTTCATAACAGCATTTCACAAAAATCACTTAATGTCCTGTACCGTCTTACCTGTTGCCTCAGGCCCACAGTTTTCTGGCAAAAAACCCGGCCTAACAAGAAGTATTCGTTGTAAGACCTATCTTGAACTAATGTGAGGCCGTTTATAGTCTTTATTCTGCTACGTGTGCTATGCATCCATTTTGCTGCAGAAAGGGGGATATCTTTCATAATATGTGGGATAGTCCCTAAGTTTCCCTTCTAAGAAAAAAATAAATCTGAAACATACCTGAATTTGTGGAACTGGAGTGGGTGAGAAAATGTAAACAGATTTAATAGCTATTTCAGGAATTCACTATGGTCTAGCTGCGCAGAAGTTGCACTGAAAATAGGAAATTGTTAAGCCTGGGAGTAATATGGATAGACTTTTAGGAAACATTTTAGCTACATAAGGGCAGAAAATTTTGCAACCCTATATAATAAAGATCTGCAGGGTTCAGGCAGGAATTTGGAATTCATCCTTGCATGTATTCCATCAACAGTATTTATAAATGCCCTCTTTACCATAGACTGATGTAGGCACCRGCGATAATACCATGGTGAACAAGATAAACATAGTAATAATAGGAGTCCGTCCCTTTCTTCCTTTTTTTCATTCTTTTCAGTAATAGGGATCAAACCCAGGGCAGTCATGCATCCTAGGCAAGTGCTCTGTCACCAAACTGCATTCTCAACCATTTTATTTATTTATTTATTTATTTTGGTGGGGGTTCTTTTTGGGGGGGTTTGTTTTGGAACTGGGGGTCAAACCCAGGGCTTTGCACATACAAGGCAGATAGATGCTTTGCCACTGAGCTACATCCCAGCCCTCCTCAGCCATTTTAAAATCTTTATTTTGAGACAGGGTCTTGCTCAATTGCCTAGGCTGCCCTTGAACTTAGAACTCTCCTGCATGAGAAACAAAATTTAAGTAATTTGTTCAAAGTCTACAGCTAATAAATATGGAGCTGAAATTTAACCCTAGGCAGTCTGGATCTGGATCTGTGTTCTTCATGCTGTTCTGAATAATTAGGATTATAGAGGTAGGACACTATGCCTGGCTGGAATTTTTTCTTTTTTTCCCCTTTTTCTGTGCTGGTGATTGAACCCAGGGTTTCCTGCACGCCAGGCAGTGCTCCACCACTGAACTATCTTCCCAGCCCCTTTTCATTTTAACTTGGTTTTGCTGTACTTCTCTCTGTAGTAGTCTCTGTTTTCTGCCCTAAATGAAGGTGTTCCACTGTGCTTTAACATTAGCTTTTTTTTTCTTCTCATTCCCATGGTAATCCTGATTCTTTTTTTTTAAGGAATAATGGGACTAACTTTTTTTWAAGTTATTTTCAGTTTAGATGAATCTTTATTTTATTCATTTATTTATATGTGGTGCTGAGAATTGAAACCAGTGTCTCACACATTCTAGGCAAGTGCTTTACCACTGAGACACAACCCTAGTCCCTGATTCTTACTGAACATTCTTAATTCAGATGATTCCCATGTTTATATCTAGTCCTCATCTATCTTCTGAGTTGCTAGTTCCAAGTCCCTTGGGCTGAGCTGCTTGACATTACCATGTGAGTATCCTGCCAGCTCTTTAAAAACAGTATCTAAAATTGTCCTCTGCATCTTTTATATCACTCTTAACTGCTGTTGCTTCTTTCTTCTTTCTCTTTACTACCACTTTCTTAGTTACCTACACTAGAACTTTGAAGATTGTCTTATCCTTAGATCTTCTGTCTTGTCTTCTATGGCATTCTCTTATTTTTACTTTTTTTTTTTTTAATATGTTTAGTTGTAGATGGACATGATGTCTTTATTTATTTTTTTTATGTGGTTCTGAGGATCAAACCCAGTGCCTCACACATGCTAGGCCAGCGCTCTACCCCTGAGCCACAACCCCAGCCCTTGTTTTTTTACTTTTTTAATGTCTCATCTGCCCCCAGCTTTTCATTCCCATTAGACTCATCTCGATATAGGCTTACTAATGATTGTCCTCTCTTTCTAGTCACTCACATGATGACAATGAGTCTTCCTAAAGCCCTGCTTTTACTCTTGTCATTTTCCTATTCAGATATCTTCTAGTAGCTTACTTTACTCCCTTGAACTTTTAAATTGTCTCTATATCCCTTTCTAGCCTTTTTATACTGCCTTCTTCGCATACTAGCTTTTAGTCAAACTAAACTATGTGCATTGTTTGAAACCTCATTGTGCTCTTTCATCTCTGTATTTCTGAACCTGCATTGTGGTTTTCCCTCATTGTTTGTTGCTTCATCCCCCTTCTTGAAATGGCACACTTCTTATCTGTTATTTACTGAAATCCAACTCATTCTTTATGTCCCCACTCAGATTTCATCTTGTCCTAAAAGCCATTCTAGATTATCTTAGCCTGAAGGGAACCCTTTCCTTTTCTGGACTATTTTGTTTTTTGTGACAATACTATACTGTACCTTTAATTATCATATTTTGTTCTTTCTCAAATGTAAACACTCTTAGGGCACAAACTTAATTTATTCTAAGAATTTGTTTTGGCAGGGGGTGAATGGTACTTGGGATTGAACCCAGGGGCTCTTTACCATTGGCCATAATTCTGGCCAATTTAAAAATTTTTTGGAGGGGTACCAGGGATTGAACTCAGGGACATTCAACTACTGAGTCATATTCCCAGCCCTATTTTTTTTTTTAAGGAGAGAGAGAGAGAATTTAATATTTATTTATTTATTTTTTAGTTTTCGGCGGACACAACATCTTTGTTTGTATGTGGTGCTGAGGATCGAACCCGGGCCCCAGGCGAGCACGCTACCGCTTGAGCCACATCCCCAGCCCCTCCCAGCCCTGTTTTGTATTTTTATTTAGAGACAATGTCTCACTGAGTTGCTTAGTGCCTTGCTTTTGCTGAGGGTAGCTTTGAACTCGCTTTCTCCTGCCTCAGCCTCCCGARCCACTGGGATTACAAGTATGTGTACCTACACTTTTAATTTTTTATTTGGAGACAGAGTCTCACTAAGTCGCTGAGCATGGATGGCCTTGAACTTGTGATCCTCCTACCTCAGCCTTCTGAGTTTCTGGGATTACAGGCATGTACCACTATGCCCATCTAATCTAAGATTCTTAGCATTGGTGGGATCCGGGTTCGATCCTCAGCACCACATAAAAATAAAATGCATTGTGTTGTGTCCATCTACACCAAAAAATAAATATTTAAAAAAATAAATAAATAAAAATAAAAAGAATAGTACAGGTTCAACAAACTTATTTCTTATATTTGTAGAACATTGTTTGAAAGCCCTTAAAATCATGGAAGCAGTACATCTGTAAAGAAATGACTCTTAATTTCACACATGATGAAATAGGTGTTATGACTGAAGCACTTTTGGATCCTAAAGCAAGGAGTGCTTAGATAAATTGTAATGAACAGCTATTGACTGTTCTGTGGAAGCTTGAGAAATTGTGACTAACAGAACAATTTAGTTGGTAAGCAGATTTGGAATAACTCAGAGGCCAGGTAGAATGCTTCTTTTTTAGATCTAAAGTTAAACACCATTCAGTGTAATAGAACATTTTTTATTTTTAGATTAAATTTTGAGAAATTATATTTTATTTGTGAAATCTTTAATTGTAGTAATCAAAGATTAGATTAGTAATCAAAGATTAGATTAGTACTGACTGGCAGCCACACTTAAGGTTTCTATAATGTACTGATATCCCCCCACAGTTTCTTAAAAATGACTTTGAAAAGGGAAGGAATGGAAGGGAGGGGGGATGGGAATAGGGAAGACAGAATGAATCGGACATTCCTATGTTCATATATGAATACACGGCCAATGAAACTCCACATCGTGTTCGACCGCAAGAATGGGATCCTATTTAGAATAAGTTATATTCCTTGTAAGTATAATATGTCAAAATACACTCTACTGTCATGTATATCCAAAAAGAACARATAAATTTTAAAAATAAATAACCATGAGTTTTTCCAGCTAAGTGTGGTCATGCATTCCTGTAATCCCAGCAATTTAGGAGGCTGAGGCAGGAGGATCACAAGTTCAAAATCAGCCTCAGCAACTTAGGGAAGCCCTAAGCAACATAACGAGACCCTGTCTCAAAAAGAAAAAAAAAAAAAGAAGTCTTGGCATATGGCTCAGTAGGGCCACTGGGTTCAATCCCTGGTACTGGGCGGTGTGTATGTGTGTGGGGGATTATTTTTTCCCACTGTTACAGATGTTGACCTTTTTCTTGTGATGTGTGTTTTGTTGCAGATGGTGTGGATGGAAAGCAAGCCCGCAGAACCAATTCTAGCACCCCCTTAGGGGAGCTTTTTGACCATGGCCTGGATAGTTGGTCATGTGTTTACTTTGTTGTAACTGTGTATTCCATCTTTGGACGAGGACCAACTGGTGTCAGTGTTTTTGTTCTTTATCTCCTATTATGGGTTGTTTTGTTTTCTTTCATCCTGTCTCACTGGGAAAAATATAACACAGGAATTCTTTTTCTGCCATGGGGCTATGACGTTAGCCAGGTGGTAAGTATGTGTTCTGCTTTAAGTTTTTAACATTACCACTATATTTTTGGAAAATTTTTTGTCATTCCTTCCTTATTGCTGTTTTGATTAGAACAGATGTGTGCTTTTTAAAAACATTAAAAAGATTTTTTAAATTTTACTTATTTATGGAAAATTTCAAACATACAAAAGTAGAGAGAATTTTATAATGAACTCTTATTGCATCTGTTAACTTAGCTTCAGGAGCTAGCAGGATATGGGCAGTATAGTTTCATATATACTCTCTCTTAGCTCCCTTCCCAGTTCTTTTTTTTCCCCCCCAAATATATATATTTTTTATTTGTAGTTGGACACAGTATATTTATTTTATATTTTTATTTTTATGTGGTGCTGAATATTGAACCCAGGGTCTTGCACGTGCTAGGCAAGTGGTCTACCACTGAGCCAAAACCCCAGGCCCCCTTCCTAGTTCTTTTAAAGAAAATGTGGTAAATATTTTGCTATATATCTTTAAATGATAGACTCCTTAGAAAACATAATCATAATACCACTATTATGCCCCAAATTTAATGCTTTCTTTCATTCACTTGAGCTGTTGATTTTGTAAAGCAAGATGTACATGTGTAATTGTTGACTTTTTGTCTTTATTGCCAACTTTTCGTGAGTAGAGAGATTTCTCCTCCTTTAATAGGCTTTGTTAACTCTCTTGCTTCTGAATCCCAGCTTTGTGTGTTGCCATTTTGCCCATTTGCACCTAAACCGCCAGTAAAGAAATCAAAAGTTGGAGTGTGTTTGAAGAAGGCAGTTGGGGGTCAAACTGGATCATCTTATGGCTTACACAGTTTATGAGGTGACTTAAAGTGCTTCAGATGATGACCATTTGCTTGCATTGTCTAGAAGTCATTTATTTTATGGTGTTTTTGGGGGAAGATTCTTTTTTGAAGGCAAGAAAACTTGCCGCATACCAAATTTAAGCATACTTCTTGCTTTTACTAAAACTGTTTGACTAGACTTAATGCTGCATAAAGCAATATTGGCTTCTGAGCTTTTCAACTGTTAATGCCTCTGTATACTTTTGTCTGTATTTTCTTTCCAGACTATTTCTTTTGTCTACATAGTGACGGCAATTGTGGGAGTTGAGGCCTGGTATGAACCTTTCCTGTTTAATTTCTTATATAGAGACCTATTCACAACAATGATTATTGGTAAGAAGCTCCATGTCGAAGCCTGTTTTAACCATCACTTTGTTTTCAAAAGCCAGTGATTGACTATATGTAGAAGTTACGCCTCTCTCCCTGTCCTCTAATAAGCAGAATAGTTCTACAAACCTGTAGGATTTCAATTTAGACATCAAGGAAAATAATATTTCTTTTATGTTTTTGCTCAGTAAGAAGCTTTTTCTTTTTCTTTCTTTTTTTTTTTTTTTAGAGAGAGAGTGAGAGAGGAGAGAGAGAGAGAATTTTTAACATTTATTTTTTAGTTCTCGGCAGACACAACATCTTTGTTGGTATGTGGTGCTGAGGATCGAACCCGGGCCGCACGCATGCCAGGCGAGCGCGCTACCGCTGAGCCACATCTCCAGCCCAGAAGCTTTTTCTAATAAATAGGAAATGCCAAAATAGATCACACAGGCCTTTTAAAGGAAATATTCAAATTAATATAGACTATATTAGAGGATTCACATGTAGGTAGATGTTTAATCTGTCTACTTGAGAAAGTCAGCCTCTTTTCCTCTTAGATGTCCTCTTTATTCCAATGAATGATTAGAGTTTTTGATAGTGGTAATATTTCCCTTTTGATTTTAGCCAAAGAGGATATCTGTAGGATAATTGACTGAGTACAAGAGAGTATTAATGGTATGGTTAGAGGAAGAGGAATCTAAGTTGTTTTGGGACACCAGGAATAGCACTAAGGACCTTTGTAGAAGTAGAAAACATATATGTAGGCTATTGCTCTGTTCCCTTATCAAAAAAACAACCCTGCTTTGTTCTGATGATTAACTTTGATAATAGAATGGAAATTAGGTCAGGCTTGGAAACTGAAAAAATCGTATTCGTCACTGACTTTCAGAAAAGGAATGGTTTTGGGCATTTTTCCTGTGGTTCTGGATGGTACATGTTTTTGAAATTACCCTATGATCTATTAAATGTTCATTTCCCCCAACCCCTGTACTGGGGATTGAACCCAGGGGCACTTAACCACTGAGCCACATCCCCCAGCTCTTCTTATTTTTTTATTTTGAAACAGGGTCTCCCTAAGTTACTTAGGAACTTGCTAAGTTGCTGAGGCTGGTCTTGAACTTGTTACCCTTGTGCCTCAGCCTCCTGAGTCACTGGGATTACAAGCCAAATGTTCATTTTCTGGTGTCATTATGAACTGTAATAGCTTCACCATGAAAATGTTGCTTTTTTTCTTCTATTATTTATGACTCCTGTGTTTTAAGCAGCTTGTCTTATGGCAGTTTTGCTGCATTTTACATTTAAATATTCAATTTAAAGATAAGGCATAAAAATATGTCTGATCTGAGACATTTAAAATATTATTTACTTTAATAGGTACATAATTTTCTTTAAAGCTTTACATTCTTCTGAATTCTTCCCTCTGAAATAAAAATAAAACCCCACTTGTTTCTACACAAATAAGTGAAACAGCTTTCCCAGCAGATAGATTGTTTAGAAGAACCATAGGGTTTATACTAGTTAGTTTCTGCTGATAAAATTGGTGGTGCTAAAGTGGTTGGGGTAGCCTGGAGCCGTAGTGTGAGAGGAGTGCTAATGAAAGGTTGGTAGTAGGTAGAGTGGCTTTCTGTGCCATTGTGGAAGGTCGCCTTCTTTGGGTACAGCAGACAGACTACCAAAGTAGAGGATTCAGCCTCCCCACTGCCATTTATTATGAAAAAGAATTGAACATCTATTACTGATGGTAGTTCCTTCTACTTTTATGTACTAGTTCCTATGTTATCATCACTTTTCTTCAACTGCTTTCAGTACCAGTTGCAATATTGTTTCAACTACACCACTGCTCCTATCTAACCCATAGGCTGTTTTATAAAATACAGTCTTTTGTACTCACCCATGGGTTTGCCATTTCTGCTGTACTTCATTCCTTTCTGTATATCTGACTTAGGTTCTGGTGTTCTTTCTCAGAAATCTGAAGAATTCTTTCAGGATTTCTTGTAGTGCAGAGCTGGTAGCAGTATATTCTTTGTTTTTGTTTATGTGAAAATGTTTCCTTAATTTTTTTCTTTTAGCATTTTGAATGTATTATTCTAATGCCCTCCAGCATCCATTGTTTCTGAATCAGCTCACATGTTATTGTCACCCGGTGTGTAAAGTGTTATTTTTCTTTTGTTGATTCAAGAGTCACTTTTTATTTTTGTCTTTCACAATTTGACTACTATGTACCCAGGTATAGTTTTCTTCACATTGTCCTATTTGTTGAGTTTTTTTTGTGTGTTAAATATAAGTTAATATTTCTGACTAAATGTGTGATATTTTCAGCCATAGTTTCTTTCTTCAGATATTTTTTTTTTCTGCTTAATTCTTTATCTTCTTGTAAAACTGCACTTACACGTATGTTACACAGATTTGTTTGATTTTGTCATACAGGTGATTTTCTGAGGCTTTATTAAGTTATCTTTAACATTTTTTTTTATCCATTTTTTGTAGTGGTTGATTTCTGTTTATCTTTAAGTTCAGTTTTTCCCTCCTGCCATCTCCAATCTGCTGTTGATCCTGTCTAGTGAATCTTGAAATTAAGTTATTGAACTTTTTTTTTTTTTTAGAGAAAGGAGAGAGAGAGAGAGAGAGAGTGAGAGAGAGAGAGAGAGAGAGAGAGAATTTCAATGTTTATTTTTTCGTTTTCGGCGGACACAACATCTTTGTTTGTATGTGGTGCTGAGGATCGAACCCGGGCCGCACGCATGCCAGGCGAGCGCACTACTGCTTGAGCCACATCCCCAGCCCCTAAGTTATTGAACTTTTCGGCACTAGAATTTCTATTTGGTTCTTTTTATACTTTCTATGTCTGTGTTGAGATTCTCCTATCTGACCTTTTTTCCTACCTCACTTTGGACATATTTAAAATAGCTCCTTTATTATCTGTCTGTCAAGTCTAACATCTGGGCCTACTTAAAGTCAGCTTCTGTTGGTTCCCTTTTTTTTCTATTTCTTTGCATATCTAGCAGGGTTTTTTTTTTTTTTTTGGTTGGAAACTAGACATTATATGCTGGGGACATAGCTCAGTGATATAGTGCTTGCATAGCATGTTTGAGTCCTTGTGTTTGATCCCCAGCATCATTGAAAGAAAGAAAGATAATCTGTTAGTCAGACATTGTGGATAATTTTTATAGAGATTTTAGAATGTTTTAATTTTTTTTTTCTAGTAGACATTGAACTCAGCCAGAGAAATCTGTGTCCTCAGGGTATATAATAGCTGACATTTTCAGCTTTCAGCTGCTCCTTTTTAAGCATTGTTTTATGTGTGTGGGTGTGTGTGTGTGTGTCTCCCTGTGTTCATGTGTCCCCCTTATGTCGGTATAGTTTAGTAGTCAGCCATAGATTTGGGTATAGTTATTACTGAGATTTTGGTGCTGATCTCTCTATGATTTTCTTGCTTCTGGGGTTCACCATCTGAATCTTCAGCTTTTTTGCAGTTTCATTTGTTCTTTCATTTCTTCCACTATAAGTGTCCAATCAGGTTACTTATTTTAGAATTCCCACTCTGGTTTTGATACCAGTTGTGGACATGGACATTTATGTGTATTTGTTTGTTTTGTCTTTTTTCCCCCTTTGGTAGTGAGAATTGAACCCAGGGATGCTTTTACTGAGTTTCATCCCCAGTCCTTTTAAATATATATATTTTTTAAGGTAAGGTCTTGTGAGTTGCTGAGGGTCTCACTAAGATGCTGAGGCTGGTCTCAAACTTGTGATCCTTCTGCCTCAGCCTTCTGAATTGCTGAAATTACAGGTGTGCCACTGCACCTGGCTTGTTTGTTTCACTTTTGACTTCAAGAATTACTTTTTTCTTTTGAAATTTATTTTTGCTTTATAATTCTGTGAACTATTCATGAGAACAAAGACAAATTTATAAGTGTATTAAAAAAAAGTATAGCATCTATCACTACCCTATTTCTACCTTCATAGGTAACCATTCTTAATGTTTAATTTTTATGGCTTATTTTTTCATGTTTTTATTGCGTGTGTATATGTGTTTCATTTTATTACCCCTTTCCATGGCATTCTATATGTACTTTTTTTTTTTTTTCGCTTCTTCCCCCCACTTAATAGTATATCCGAGAGATCATACTATACATAAGGATCTTCCTCATTCCTTCTTATAGCTGGCCAGTACTTCATTGCATGGATGTACCCAATAGTTTGTTTAATCAGCTTCCTATTGATAGACATTTGGATTGCTTCCAGTCTTTCACTCTTATACAAATTGCTGAAGTGAATAGTCTTGTATCTGTCTTTTCATGTTTTTGCTAGGGTATTGTGGAAGAAAGCCCTACTAGTAGAATTGTTAGTAAAGGATAAACGCGTGCAGATAGATATGTCTGTAAAATTTCCATTTTTTACATTGTGAATGAACTTTTCTAGTGTTTAAGAGCCATTTATATTTCCTTTTCTGTATATTTTAAGTATCTAGCCCTTGTGTGTGTGTGCACGTGTGCACCATGGGTTGAATCCAGGGGCACTTAACCACTGAACCACGTCCCCAGCCCTTTTTATTTTTCATTTAGAGACAGGATCTTACTAAGTTGCTCAGGGCCTCACCCAGTTGCTGAGGCTGGCTTTGAACCTGCGATCCTCCTGCTTCAGCCTTGCAAGCCCCTGGAATTACAGGCATGCGCCACTGTGCCCAGCTAAACATTTAAATACTCTTTATAGATTGTACGTTAAGTACTGTTGAGAGAAGGAATAGAAGATGCTGTCCTTTTCTTTGGCAACCTTAGGCTTTCCACATGCTTGCTATATTTAAAACTATTTCAAGACTTTTAAAACTAGAATTACTCTTTGTGGCAAATCTTGTGCTAGTTTATCTCAACCCATTTTCTTTTTTTAGTACCTTTATTTTATTTATTTTTTTATGTGGTGCTGAAGATTGAACCCAGGTCCTTGCACGTGCTAAGCAAGTGCTCTACTGCTGAGCCACAACCCCAGCCCATCAACCTATTTTCAACACCTGTTTTCCAGTTACTTGGAACTACAAGAAATCCTGGGTTAATTCACTTAACTTTGGTTTCCCTCAGTGCTTCCCAGCTTGACATAGAGTAAGCTACTAAACATTTTTGAGGGCATGAAGGTCATCACTTTGTTTTTTCTTTTTTCTTTTTATTGGTTGTTCAAAACATTACAAAGCTCTTGACATATCATATTTCATACATTTGATTCAAGTGGGTTATGAACTCCCATTTTTACCCCGTATACAGATTGTAGAATCACATCGGTTACACATCCACGTTTTTACATATTGCCATACTAGTGTCTGTTGTATTCTGCTATCTTTCCTATCCTCTACTATCTCCCCTCCCCTCCCCTTGTTTTTTCTTTTCCCTTTAATATAATCTGATTTGGCAAACTTTATTCCAGTTAAGTTTGGAAGTAGCAGAGTAATTCACCTTTGGGAAGATTTCTGCTGGTTCTAGTTTTTTCATCTGTTTTTAGCCAAGTACCTTAGGAATAAGAATGTTTTCTACTGTTGATCCTAAAAGTGATAGCTGTATTGACCCTCAAACCACCAATATAGTCCCGGGAAATCTGGAGTAGACAAACTAGGACCAATAATGAAACATTGAAGTGAAATGTTCAGAAAGTTTTGAGATGTGTGTATTAATTTGAAGTTTGAAAGAGGGAAGGATCAGGGATTTACAACTGTATAGACCATAGATTCAGATTTTTTAAAGACGTAAGGGACACTAGAAAATCATTTAAACCATCCTTATACTGCTGGACTCTGAAACTTGGATTGATTGATTTGCCCAAAAGTACATAACTGCTCAGTGGCTGGAAGCATGTAGTTAAGCTTTAAAAGAAAATACTCTTGAGAGTGGAGCACCCCTTTAGGAATATGTTAGGAATATGCAGGAAGTTGAGTTTCCAAGAAATGACAAAATGAAATGGTTAGGTGGTTAATAGGAACACTGGGAGAACAGAATCACAAAGGCAGAATGAGGAAAGAATTGCATTTAGTATATAGTCAATGAAACCATGCGTCAAGAATGAGAAAACATACTAAATTTGATCATTAGGAAAACTTTTTCAAGAATGTATTTCTGCACAGTAGAGGGCAGACTGAATAAAAGAATGCTAAGAAATTGAAAACAACAGAAAAGTGTGGCAATTGGAAAGAAATGACAGAATAAGAGTAAACAAGGCAGTAGAAATCATTGATAGAATGTCTTGGGAAGGCCATCATTATTTTTAGGTTTGAGAGGGAAGAACTGTGGTGTGGGTGGGATAGGGAGGGAAGAAATGGGAAATTCTGGGGAGGTTAAAAGCATATGTAAATAAGAAATAGCAAGATCCATTTATTATCCTCCCCTTCTAGTAACTCACATTTACTTTGCCATTTACTATATACCAGGCACTGTTCCAGGTATCTTTAATAATTTATTACATTCTCAAAACCCTATGGGGTTGGCACTACTTTGCCCTCTATTTTGTAAATGAGGAAACTGAGGCACTAAAAGTCTGACTGCCTGAAGTCACTTAAGTGATTGATGACACCACTGGTATCAAGACCCAGACTAGCTCCTAGAGTCTGTGCTCTGACTCACCCAAGTGTACTGGCACTCTCCCAGTTGTAAATGCTCTTAGGAATGTATTTAGTTTTTATTACAGAAATAAACTTGAGCCTGAAAATTGTTGGATCTACAAACATTGTGTATCTTGCAAGAATTCAGTTATTATAATATACTAACTCTTTAATAATTCATGATAATTTAAGTATTCTTTCCTTTAGGTTGTGCAATATTTGTGACTCTTCCAATGAGTTTATTAAACTTTTTCAGGTAAGTATTTAATTAAATTAATTTATTTGTTGTGGTGTTGGGGATTGAACTCAGGTCCTTGTGCATGTGAGGCAAGCACTCTACCAACTGAGCTATATCCCCAGCCCAGTATTTTATTTTTTTAAATTATTTTTTAAATATTTATTTTTTAGTTGTAGTTGGACACAATACCTTTATTTTATTTATTTTTATGTGGTGCTGAGGATCGAACCCAGGGCCTCGAACTTGCTAGTTGAGCACTCTACCACTGAGCCACAACCCCAGCCCCAGTATTTTATTTTTTAATTGGGCAAAAAAATGTGAAAAAATTCAGCAATTCTAAGGATCTGTTTTTCTTTTCTGAGTCTGGACATTTTGAAATGGTTATGAAATATGAATTTTGAATCTAGAATGAGATTAGGGTATCTTTGGCTAATGTAGTCAATTCAACCATATCACAGAATTACTTGTTCTTTTTTTATGGTTTTGGGCTCACCAGTCTTTTAGTTTGATAGTGAGAGAGTATCTTCCTCTTAAATATTTATGTGTTTACATTCAATTTTGTAAGTTATCTGTAAGTATAGTTAACAAAAGTATAAAATAATAATTTTTGAATGTGTGTAAGTTAAAATTGGACTTAGGCTGACTTTTCTCAAATAGCAGTTGCATAGAAATTCCTGCCTTCAGGGGAAAGAGTTGGGAGGTGGGATCTTTCCCTTCTCAGTAATTTTTTTTCCTGCTGTTTCCTCTGTTACTGTTTCCTCTAGTTGAAACTTTCTCCTTCATCTTTTAGTTCTGTGTCTCACAGAATTACATCCATGTCAAGCTAAGGTCTTGAATCTTCCCTGTTTATTGTGACTGGTAATCATTTATAGAAGCCATAAAATTTGGAGTTCTAAGTCTGTAGAGATTGAGTCATTTCCCCCTCAGAATATAATGATTACATTCTAATTAGACAACACAATGCCCAGGGTCATGTGACCCATAGCAGGATTGGAATTTGGGGGTGTGTCTAGATGAGCAAACATATTGGATTACTTGCTGTGTGTTTACAGATACCAGGATGTGGTATTGGCAGTCTTATTTCGGGGTCTTTGTGTGCATTACATCTTACTTTTAATGTATTAAAGTAATACTGCTATTTCATGTTCACTTTGTTTCGCCTACTAGAATATTTCACAGAACAAAGACCAAATTGTATTCATCTTTACATTCTTGACACAGCAATTGATAATTTGGTTTAAAGAGATTAAAAAGGGGACCAGGCAAGACTGGGGTTTTAGCTCAGTGGTAGAGCACTTGCTTTGCATGTGTGAGGCACTGGGTTCGAAACTCGGCACCACATAAAAATAAATAAATAAAGATATTATGTCCATCTACAATTAAAAAAGTATTTTAAAAAAAGGAGACGGGGGCGGGGGGGATGGGGACCAGGTGCCAAAATACTGGCCATGCCTCTTGAATCAGGTTATATAAGTTTAGTTCTCTTATTTTCACCCTGGCTGTGAAGTTATGGCCATAATAATGTGGCTCTATCTATGCCATAGGATAATTATGATTGTAAAATAAGAAATGTGAAAATACTTTGGAAATGGCAAAGTACTATATAAGTTTTATATGTAATAATGTTCTTTGTATTACTTGATTTTTTTTTTCCAGAAGCTATAAAAATAACACCTTGAAACACAATTCAGTCTATGAAGCTATGGTTCCCTTCTTTTCTCCATGTTTGCTCTTCATTTTGTCTACAGCCTGGATCCTCTGGTCACCTTCAGATATTTTAGAGCTACATCCTAGAGTATTCTACTATATGGTTGGAACAGCTTTTGCCAACATCACA